TTAACAAAATTCGAACTATTCCAGGTTTGTCCAGTAGATGGCAGAAGAGCCTTTAAAAATCTTCCTTATCAGCAATTTCTCTAGTTAGTGGTACAGTAACCAGAATGAGGTCAAGCTATTTAAAGCCGGAGTGGGATGTGCTAAAACTCACATAAAAATAAAATTGTGTCAGTGTGTGCTAAATGCATGTGTTAAAACATCACAATGAAACCCATTATTTTGTACATTTAATACACATAATAAATGTTAATAAAAATAAGCTTGTACTTCATTTATTTGTTTCACTTCATCTTAGTGCCCTCTATGTTAGCAGCTAACCTTTGGCAATTATGTCCACTAGTTGAGTCCTTAACACACCACTGTCATGACCCACTGTCTCCTTTTTCTGAGTATACCCAGTTTCTCCAGTGCAGATATATCAATCCCAAACAGAAGGCAGTCTGTTCTATGTATATGAGAGTGGACATGTATGACAGGCTACACCTCGCCAGCCAGATTTCTTCCTGACTTAGGGCCCTTGACACAGGACATTTGGAAAGTACCTGTCTTCCTTTCATTGGCTCATCCCTGAAATGAAGCTAGGAGTAGAAGGAAGCCCAGTTCTCCCAGTCTGCAAAACCTGGCCCAGCTTAGTGTCTGTATTGGTGGGATTATCTCACTGTGGAAAAACCAGCAGAGTGAATGAGACACCGGTCTCCCCATCACATCCCAGCTCCCAGTGCCTGCCTGGGATGTGATGTTCTTCCTTCTATGTGACACCTTCAGGACTCAACTTGGGGCACCTCTTCATGTGCAGGTATCTTCAGAATGGTCCCCTAACAGAAGTTAGGCACTGGTTACATTCTTGCTTCTGTCTGTGACAAAGCTGACATCTCCACGTAACCCCCACTTTCCTGGGCCTCAGACTTCTCTGAGGACGTGGACACTAGCACATGCCACACACAGCAACTATGAGCATCAGGAGATTGGGATAGCTCACTGAACCTCCAAATCCATAGCATCCTTCAGGCTAATGACCAGTGTCAAAAATTCAGGCTCAAGTATGGAACAGACTGCTCCTCGCCCCCAGGCTCTGGAATCTTTGTGATCACACTTTTAGGAACGAACTACATAGCAAAGGATGACATTGAACTTCTCCTAAGTGCTAGGACTACTACGTCCCCACACCCAGTTTATATGATAGTAGAGATTGCACTCAGGGCTCTATGCACACTGGGAGAGCCATCTGTGCGCCGAAACACATCTACAGCCTAGAGGCCAGCTCTAGCTAGAGGCTTCCGTGCGGTCAGAAACGTTCACCTCTCTGGTCAGCCTGGCCCATCATTCCAAGTCAGTTAACTCTCCACAGCTGCCCTCCCAAACCAGTGCCAGTCAACCATTGGACCTTAGGTTATCTGTGCCAATGTTCCACAGGCAACAGATCCCACTAAGCATGAACTTTTGACCTGGTGAAAGCCAGAGAGGTAAGTAAGGGCAGGGTGGAGAGAAGACTTTCCCAAGACTTCAAGGGCGTGCCTCCTGGTTCTAGACCTTCCAGGTATTTTTATGGCTTTTTGATCAAGCTGAGGCTGAATGTTCAGAGAACTCAATGCTCCTGTTTTCTTCTCCCCTTTTAGAGGCAGTGGGAATTCAACTCTGTGCTTAGAAAGTGATCACCATAGTTGTATAATCCTCCTTCACAGGACATCAATATAATGATGTCTCAGTTTATGTGGCATGTCATTGACTCTATGCTGGGTGCTATTTAGAGTACTGAAGGCATCTTTGATAACTAAAATTACTTATCTTAATCAGCATTGTGACGTGGGTTCTGTGTCATCCTTATTTTGTAGATAAAGACAGTGAGATACAGAATGCTGAGTAACTTGCCAAGGCCCTAGAATGAATACACAGCAGAGGACAGAAGCCAGGCGTTCAGGTCCCAGAGTCTCCTTCTTACCGAGGATGTAACGCCAGCTCTTTAAAACCCAGGTGCTTGTATTATTTGTGTTGGCAGCAACCATGTAAAGCAAATCACATTGTTACTGAGTAGAGGGAAAGGATGCCATTATATTTTGATTTTAAAATGCTGCTCTTGTTGTTGTTCCTGCTTACTGTTTCTGCTAACGCTTAGACTCTGCCTCAGCTCCAAATCCTTGTCTTTGATGGCAAAGCTCCAACTCAACAGGTTTCCCAGCATTTCCTTGGCTATTCTATATCCAATACCAATAAAAACAAACAAACATACAAAGAGACATTAATAAGCCAGGTACGGTGGTACACACCTTTAATCCAAAGACTCAGGAGGCAGAGACAGGTAGATCTCTGAATTTGAGGCCAGTTGGATCTACATTGCAAATTCTGGGTCAGCCAGGGTTATATATGTGAATCTGTCACATGCGCACACATACACACCACCACCACACGACACACCACAAACACACACACACACACACACACACACACTATTTATAATTCTCTTTATCCACCTGAGGTGCTCACCAAGAAACCCTTCTCAGAAGGTCGGATCTCACTCACGTCTGGATCCCCGTGCTCCTCAACATGGTACAAAACAGTAGGCGTGCAGAGCCCTGGAGGAACCTCTCCAAATGGTTCTCACCACTGCATCCTCATGTTGGAGCACCCTGGCTGGACAGCAATGAAAAAGCATCGGGCCCCACCCGGCCCAGCTCTACCCCAGCCCTCAGGAGGCTGAGGCAGGAGCATCAGGCACTCAAACCAACTTGGCTGTAGCAAGACAGGCAGGAAGTTTTTAGAAAATTTATATACATTGGTGTTTGGCCTGCATGTATGTCTGGTTTAGGGTGTTGGGTCCCCTAGAACTGGAGTTACAAACAGCTGTGAACTGCCATCTGGGTGCTGGGAATTGAACCCAGGTCCTCTGGTAGAAAGATCGGTGCTCTTAACCACTGAACTATCTCTCCAATTCCCAAGGAAGGGACTTTTTAATATTTCCCAAATGTTGCCACCCCAGCCTGCCTTCTTGCCTACGAGTGATTTTTCAGTGCCCTTTCTGGAGTAATTTTTTCTTGTTTTCTGGGAAATACCTAATAAAGCCTGTAGCTCTGACCCGGAGAGTTTTGGGGTTGAAAGAAACTGTGTATTACAGTGAAGGAAACTGAGGCTGGGGCAACTGCTTATGGAGCTCAGTAAGGTGATACAAGATGGAATACTGGAGATTAACATGATGAAGACCACAGAGGTCTGGAGAATATATATATTAGATAGGTAAATAGACAGACAGATAGATCTCCAATAATAGTTCTGCTCAATTCAAAGTTACAGGTTACTCAACTAAACTCCAGTCTTGTTGGTTTTATTTCTGTACAGCCAAGGCAACAGGAAAATCAGCCACCTAGGATCCTCTCGGCACACCTCTAGGAGGCACCATCATGTCAAGGCAACTGGAGTTGTGTGGCTTGACCACGGGGGTGGGGGGAGCACAGCCACGAGGGCTTTTGGTGCTAAAGTGCTACTGTACTGGGCTCTTCCCGAAGGTGTGTGTGTGTGTACAACAAAGAGCCTTCCCAGCCCCCACATTTCTTGTTCTCAGTAGGGAATGGGATCCCCACAGGCAAGCTGTCTCCAGGCACACACGGACTTGCCTATGGAAAGTTCTCTGGGGAGTACGGTGTCATGCACAGTAGGCACATTGCTGTCATCCCTTCCATTTTGTATCCTGCTGAGGAGCATGTTTGCTCCTGGGTTTCTGGCTCCAACATTGCAGACACCGGTGGCATATTACACCACACCCTTCCCCTAATCCCTCGGGACAAAGGTTGATTATGGGGGCCATGTGAACGTGTGGGCGAGTTCAGCGTCCTCTTCTCTGACAGCCGGGATCCAAGGGACCACAAAGAATAGAGGTAGAAAAACAGGACTCCCATGTTACCATAGCAAACAAGGAAATGCGTGTGTACACAGGCTTTGACTGAAACCACCATGTTATCACAGCCCATGAAGCAAACAGGAGGGAGGGAGCAGGGCGCACACGCCGCCCCACCCCTGCTCCAGGGATGTCTAGAAAGGTCCCCATCTCTCTCTGACTTTCCGTCATTATAATCTTCTACAGCTCCTCCTTGATCCCAGAGACACCATTTTCCTTTCCTAGAGAAGCGTTCAGTAGACCTGAAGGAGCACACAGGACCCTTCCTTCCATCTTTTCCACCTGAGACTCAGCTGTCCAGAAATTGCAGGCCTTTGCTTTTTCGTCATCTTTGTTGAAATGTACCCAAAGTAAAAGTAACTCAAGATCTCTCAGGTACAAAGAGAATAATAACACGAGATCCCACCATTCAAAGTGACTTTTAGCATTTAATGAACACACGTCTATCTGTGAAATTCTGTATAACTATCCTATGCCCCCATCCTGATCTACCCACCCACAGTGTGTCATGGGAGTCTTTGTTAGCACTCTGTTGGATGCTAGTAGGACCCACAATCTAAAACAAGGAATCCAAAATGCTGCTGCTAACAATCTGATGTATGTGTTTGTAGTTCTCTGTAGCTAAGTAATAGCCAGAGATTCTTGGGCCTTGTGGCCATGAAGCTAGAAGGAAACTTCCAGAACTCTACTTCTCCTCTTCTATTGAATGCTGACAGTCCCACTCATTTGTGCAGTACTTTCCAAATTAAGAAACACTTTCACATTTTTAACAAGACAAATTTTTTAATTTTTAAAATTTATATTTTATGTATATGAGCATTCTGCATGTATGCCTGCAGGCCAGAAGAGAGCATCAGATCCTATTACAGACGGTTGTGGTTGCTGGGAACTGAAATCAGGACCTCTGGAAGAGCAGCCAGCGCTCCTAACCACTGAGCCATTCCTGCAGCCCCTGACCTTATTTCACTTGACTGTTACCAGGCAAGTTGACCAAAGGTAAAGCATATAATCAACATTGCAATGACAGTCGGGATCATAGCTGTGTCAGCGTAGCCTGAGTGTGCACTAAGGTCTGTGCTAGGTTCATTACACACTTGGTCTCAGTTATAGCTTACAGATAATATAATTTAGGCTTAAGTCAACTAAATTTCTGTGGATAAACCAGAGGGAATTTCAACGCAGTGTAAAAAGCGCCTGCTATTGGAGGGGGAGGTGTTGCTTAGTTTGTATTGTGTGCCTGGCGTGCATGAAGCCCTGGGCTTGATCTCCATCACAGCAGAAACCAGGCATGGTGATACACGCCAGCAACCCCAGCTCTGAGGAAATAGAGGCACAGGAGGACCAGGAGTTCAAGGTCATCCTCAGCTCTGTAGAGTTTGAGGCTAGCCTGGGCTACATGAGAACTAACTATTTTTAACTGTTAGCTGTTAACCACTGCACCTTACCAACCACACCACCTCTCATACCACCTTGGGCCGCATCTTCCAGAACATTTTACTATATATAGTGACCTCAACTCTTCCAGGAACAGTAACAGCGACCAGAGGGGTTACGTGGGTGACCTGACGTCTTGAAGCCAGGATTCTAAGCATTCGGCTGCTGTCTACTGCAGTCCCACCGCACCATGGCAGCCTCCAGCCTCTACAGAGCCAGGAACCAAAACTCTCAGGTCCCCCAGACGGGTGAGTTCTCCTCAGATCATCAGACACCCCCAGACTGTGGAAGCATCTTCCTCTCCCACAACTGCTGAGCACGCCGTCATTGGTAGGAAGAAGGAAGCAGAAGCGGCGGTTGCCTAAGCAGATGCCAGTCCTTCTGCATCGTGGCTTTCCTGTGCTTTTCTCACAGGGCAGACTTGTTCTTCTCTCTTTTCAGAGAGGAAGGAGAGCTTATTCTTGAGGACACGAAACTGGAGATGATGAAAGAAGATAGAATGAGATGCAAGAAAACCATTTAAATACAGGGTGGGCAGAAGGCACAGGAGGGATTAAACCGCGTCTTCCTGATGTGTAGGCAGGGCTGGTTTGTGGAGGCCATTAGGCACTCAAAATTAATATTTTCCCCTATAGAGATAACAATTTTCCTTTATAAGGTATTCCTTGCTGGAATGAGCTCAAAGGGCTTCGTGGATGCTGGTTAATTGCCCTACCAACGAACAATTTAAAAAGTAGGAAAGGAGAGGGGTAATTATTCCCATTTTACAGGTTAGCAAACTGAACTATGAAAGCGTGCCACCTTACTCAAAACCAGAGCTGAAAGAGCAAACCGGCCTCGACAGGTACCCTCCCATCTCCCCTGTGGACACAGGGTTCCTGTTGGTAGATAGCCTTGAGAAAGGACAGCCCACTCATTGACCAGAAGAACTACAGCTCCCAGCAGACACTGAGAGGATACAGGGCTGTGCCCCTAGTGCCCATTTCAGATTCCCAAATATGGAGAAGGACTGGGCTTTGGACGAGGAGCAGCACAATCACCCTTAAGAGAGGGAGGAGGATGAGGTAAGTTTGGAATACTTAACTCTATCCCTCGGTGTCTGTCCAGTGTTTGGAACGCAGCAGCCTGAAGTAAGTCACGATTCTGTAAATCTTTTGGGAACATCTCCTTCGAGTCAAGCAGTCCGTTCAGTTGCACAGCCTTCTCAGGGGAGATGAGTGAGGAAAGGGCCCCTTGCAGAACGTCGGATGCCCAGTGTGAGCAGCTCAGAAAGTGATGGTGGCGGCAGGAGGAAACCAGAGGAAGACCTTCCTGCTGCCCAGGAGAATTTCAGAGTCTGGGCCGACTGACACCTTGTCTAATGCAAAGACAGATCCCAGGAGGGCAAGGGTTACTCATTTACTGCCTTGGAGACTGTGGAGCCTGCCTGGTGGGAAAGGCGTGAAGGCGCTATTTCTACCACTCCTGCGTTCCTGCTGTCAGCAAACACTAATGAACACACTCACCTGGGTGGGCAGCATTGGAGCCTACCAGCAGGTGGCAAGCAGAAATCAGAACTATGCCTTCACGAGGCTTAGTAGAAACTGGAACGAAAGAATGGATGGGGTAGAGGGAAGGAAAAGACAGTGCATGGTAATGTGGCATGTGTGCCTTCAGCCACTGTGTATCGACCAAGCACTTACCATGAGCCAGGCATTATTCTAAGCCACTCAGAACATAGTACTACATATATTATATATTAGTATTATATTATATATAATATACTAATACACACATGCACACACACATGTGAGAAATATATATATATATAAAGAAAAGGTTCCCATCCTTTTAGATTTCTCCTGGTAATCCTGATGTCTGGGGAGAGCTCTGTAGTAGAAGGAACCGCTAACAATACAGAACCTGGGGTCAAGATGAACACGGAGAGCCTGCTGCTGCTGCAAAGGAGTTTGGGATCAAAAGGCCCATGGCCTCAAAATGGCAGGAACCTCTCCTCTGAGGGCTGTAGGAAGCCATAGCTGTTTCAGTTTGGTTTGGTTTTGGTTTTGTGCTATCTGACCAAACCCAGGGCCTCGTGTGTGCTGGACAAACACTCTATCACCAAGCTTCATCGCCAACCTTTGAGTTGAGTGTTTCAGACAGTTTCTCAGTTTCAGCCTAGGCTGGCCTCAAATTTGCAGTCCTCCTGCCTCCCCCTCACCAGCCCTGGGACTGCACACGTGTGCTGTGCTGGCCCCCACTGAATTCACT